GATGGGGGGGGCGAGAAAAAGGGTTGGGGGGGACTACGTTAGTGGGTAGGATGGTGATACCAAGCTCTTAAGGGGCCAAGAGCAGAGCACTACCAAGATCCACATGATCTTGGCCTTCAAGATGTTGCTGGTCTGCTGCCGCAGCAATAGAAGACAATGATGATGATGTTTCAGGGTTGGTTGAAATCTTGATCAGCCGCCCCACTGCCACAGTTGCACAACCCCCTAGCCAGGGGGGAATTTTGAACTGCTGCCAAACTGCTGATGCAACAGTGGAAAAATAGTGAAGAATATATATATATATATATATATATATATATATATATATATATATATGTATGTATGTATGTGGCGCAGCCCCCTAGCCAGGGGGGTCTTCAACCTCCACGGCAAGCTGCCACGTGGCACTGCAGATGGTCACGTGCTGCTCTCGTGCTGGCCGGTGCTCACTGCGGGGTAAATAGCTGGTACAACACCTTCTCAACCCCAGCGTACCGCACTACTAAGCCATAGACACACTGTGGCTAGTGCGTTACAATGACGGCTACGCACGCGCATGGCCAGCAGCTGGCCAGGTTCAAATCCTGGCAGCAACATCCCGGATCTTGAATAAAGATAATTTGAGAGTGGGGCGGGGCGAGGCAATATGGGCATGTGGTGCGTGCGTGTGCGTGTGCGGCGTCCTTGGCCTTCGTACTTGTGCGCACTCGTCGTGCTAGCTCTCTCTTTTCTGCCATGTGTCAGCCCCTTCTCGCTTCGTCCCCGCTGCACCTTTTCGCCCACTGTTTACCATGAAAACGCCCGAAAAACACCTCAAAAACCTGTTGTCGGGTTTACACCGTTTTTCTCAACGGTGGGGGCCAGGGTGGGTGGGAGCGGGGAACGTTCCCGCTCTGATACTAGTGTGACGGACCCGTCGGGATGGCGGTCCGTTAGGATCAACACGAAGGGTTGAGGAAGGAGAAGATGGAGATGGAGCTGGAAGGGACAACGCAGCTTCGACGCAGATTCAACACGCACGTACTCCAAACTGTGCAAATGCAGAGTGAGCCAGAATACAGACTGCAGCTGGGGTATAACCCCGGCGAACTGACTGGACTGGACTGGACTGGCCTGATACCGATAGTGGTACTGGGCATGACTGGACTGGACCGAAACAATACACGGCCTGGTCCCACAGGTCGAAATGGCAAATAGCCGAATAGGCCCTGGCTGTAGGTCAGGGCAGATAGAGGCCCGCTGCAGTGGTGCAGGCAAAGGATATCTAGGAGATACAAGTAAAGGAGTGGCAAACTCTGGAGACCATACAAGGGAGGCTAAGGTATATGCATAATGTACCAGATAATTTGCATAAAATGCAGCAGGCAATCCCTGACTAATGGCTTTGCATCTTAAGGAGCTCGAGAGAAAAGTCGTCGGACACCTGGTAAGAAGACTTGGAAGATGCCCCCGGACACCTGGTAAGAAGACTCGGAAGATGCCCAAGGAATTCTGAGAATCTTGGGCCCCGAGCGAAACCAAGGGATAAAGGTACAACACTGGCGAGAACAATCCAACCACAAGAATTGCACTAAACTGAGATTCATGAGAGAGAAGGTCATTCACCCCTCAGAAGAGCTTCATGAGGTAAGGGTGTGGGCGGCAAGTTCAGAGACTGCTGAGACAATACTCGTCTCCCGCTCTCCCGAGCTCCTCCAAGTGGAGCCACTGTTGCACGGGTGGAAGGATGTAAAGGCTTTGGGGTCCTTTTTCCCTGCACTATTGTACAAAACCAAAATAGGGGTCAAGGTCCTACAAGCATCCTTGAAAGTCCAAGCGATCACCGTAGCGGCGAAAGACTACAAAAGGAGCCGGAATTTCAGCTGGGAAATATAAACCTGCCGAAACTTTGGAGGGCCTTGAAAAAGATACCCTCCCAGAAACAAGCAAGCATCATGTGGACCCAGTCGTTGTCAGTTACCGCCTCCGCCTCCTGGCTGGTATCTAGAGGAATGAAGATTGATGAAAGATGTGTCAGATGTAACTGGGGCTGGGAAACAAGCAGTCATATTTGGCTCTACTATCCTCTGTGGACTCAACTATGGGACTGGTGGAAGAATCACTGGAAGGAACTTTCAGGGGATAACTTCCGGTGGACACACGAATGGACTCTCCATGGTTTCTGCCCCGAGGATCAGGACCTACTGAAAGGCTGGGGGTACGTGGCCTTTGCCTGTAGAGGGGTGGCAATGGAAGTTATTTGGAATTCAAGGAATGACCTGCTTTTCAGAAAAGAGTCTCAGTCCTTCTCTAAGCAGACGAATAGGTTCCTCACACTCCTACGACGTACTATTTATGCAGACTGGCAGAGTGTGAAACAGCATCAGAAAAAAAGGGTTGTCATGGTTCCACAGTACATGGGCTAAAGATGGTAGAATAGCGTCAGTCTCAGCAGAAGGCAAACTCACACTCACTCCTTGGCTGTTACAAAGAAGAGTTGAACAAGATTAGAACCGTGTTAGGTTCTTCTTAGGTCGTTGGGACTTCAAACGTACAATAAAATAGGGATGTGTTTGAGCTGCAAGAGGGGTACAAAATAGGAGGATGTAGGATTTTCATTATTAGAGGCTTTTTAGGATAGAAGTCATTAAATGGGATATCTGATTCGGGTCCCTTTGGGTCTCGTAAGAAGTGAAGCTGGGTAAGGCTCCCAGACAATTCATTTTCCGGGTAGACTGTGAGGATCCCGACTTCTGGCAACAATTTGTAGCCTTGGGCACTGGAGTCGGGACCCACTAGCATCGATTTACGCTTCGGCAGTTTGGTTTTCAACCACGTGCGACGAGAGGTGATATTCGGCGACCGTTGATCCTTTTGTGTATCTTCGGTGCAGGGCAATAGGGACCGATTTTGTGGACGTATCTGTCCGCCGGCCAATAGAAGAGTTTCGTTTTCATTTTTTTGTCCATTTAGGTAGCCACTTTGCGTTGGCGCGAAACTGCAATACTATGATTTTTTTAAGGGGGGTGTGTTTTTGAAGCTTCGCGCCTTGCTATTTTTTTCGCAGAAATTTAGAATATTGAGATTTCCAGGGAAGACTGCGAACAGGCCAGCGGGAAGGTCGCATGCAGATGTACCGGGTTGGTGGAAGTGTGGATGCATAGCATTGGCCTTGTTTTCTTTGCATTTCTGAAAATAAAAAAAATGATTCTTTATGTGTTTTTTTTTAAAGAAACGACCGCCACACACCGATTTACTCGATGCTAGTGGGTCCCGGCTCCTGGGGCCTGGACCCACTGGTGAAGTATTCTATGACGTGTAACACAATTTTATGTTTTTTTTGGAAAATACAAAGTGATTTTTTATTTGCATGAATGGATCGTTTTCTGATTTAAAATGAATTGAAATAGCACATAAAACTACGGCTTGGACCCCACTGGCCGGCAGCATGGAAGTGATTTTCCATTTCCATGTTTACGGGACCCCACTGGACCGCCAGGAAGGTGCGCCATGCGAATTGGGGACCCCACTGCCAGTGCCGGACTGTCGTGGAAAACCGTCGGAAGCGTTTCCACATGGCCGGCGGCTGGAAAGAACTGTCAGACCGTCCGGCGACTGTTTTCCAAAACCGAAGTTTTTTTAGACGGGGGGGGGGGGCACCCCCAAAGATGCCGTACCAGGGCACGGGCGGCCTGGTCCGGTGCACGATGGAGTGGACCATCTCTTCAAACCACGGACATCAGTGGTGCATCGCACCGTTCGGGTGTGGGACCGTTCCGTTGCGCGGGGACTTGCGGTCCCGTGTGCCAAATTTGCAACGGGCACAAAATTCGAAATGGGTTGGGCTGTGGGAGCGGGGCGTTCCGCATGGGTGTTGTCGCCCGCTTCCCACGGGTTGGCGGGAAATTCAAATTCGCGGAGTGCGCACGTCGACCACCCATGCAGTGCTGGGGCATGCGTAGTGCGGGCCGGCCGTCATCGACCGTTAACAATGTCGGCGGTTCTTCGTGCAGCGAGGAGCGGCTGTGAGGCGTGTGTGCGTGGTTGGAGGCAGTTGCCTGAAGGGGGTGTTGTGGGATGTTGTCGTCGTCGTTATGTCCACGGCACGGGTGGAAGTTGGGTGTGTGCATGTCCAGTACCATCACGGAGGCAAGGGCTTCTCGCGACACGAGTGTGCAGTGCGCAATCCTATCTGGCGGTTCGGCCTTCGTCGTCGTTCGCTGGAGGGGTGCTCCTTCCACGCTTATCCGGGATCGCAACAGCAGTTGCTCGTACTTCAAACCAACCTCCGCATGGTCGATCTTCGCACAACCGCTCTGGCATGACGGAGAGAGTCGTTGAGGACGGTGTGAATGCATGTGAATACGTGCATGGCCCGTTGCCGTTCAATGGCGAAGTGGGAGTGCGTGATCTTCGAACACGGTCGACGGTCAATCATCATCAATGTTGCTACTGCCGTCCTGTTTACATCTTCGTAACGAACGGGGTGGACGACAACGGCCGGCTATGTTATCGTGTGAATGCGTCTTTGGTGGTGTTGTTGTTATTCTTTGCCTTGGTTGCAGCGGTGTTGTTGGCGGTGATTCTGTGTGGAGTGGTACTGTTGTTGGCCATGTTCACGCTGTATGCATAGCAACACATTGTTGCGCGAACAGGTGTTGCAAGGGCCTGTCACTCTTTGGGGTGGGGGAAAGATCGGATCTTTCGCACGTCTTGCGTCGTGATGGATTCGTCAAGGTGGAGGGCGGATCCGAATGCCGGTGGGGAAGGCGGTTTTCAGGTGGCAGATCCTAGACAGCATGCAGGTGTCGCATATGCTGCATCCCCATCCCCAAGTATGTTGTCGTTCCACAGGGGAGTCGTCGAGGGAATGCAAGGGCAGGCCATGGGAGTTCCTTCGGGACCCGGGATGTCGATGCCGCGCATGCAGTCCATGATTGCACGTCCGCGATTGCCTTTGCGCCCTGCACCACAGTCGATGCCAGCCGGGGCAGGGTACATCGCTAACGCTTCGTTAAGCGCGCAGCTTGCTGGTGGGTATGCACCGCCGGGTGTGCAATCCATGCCTGCCGGAACGGCGTTTGGCATTTCCGGTTAGGTGTTCCCTCCATCTCACGCCATGGATGGTGGGTATGGCTACGTAGCGGAGCCGCCATGGACGGCTCCGTGTGGGCAAAGCAGTCGGCAGACGTTGGGGCAAAGCACCCAGCCGACATTTGGGGGCAGTTCCATCCCTTCCCCCTCGTCATGCAGACGCACTTCGAGCGATCAGTCGGCGTCCATGATAGACGTCGACAGCGATGACAACGGTGAAGTGTCGGCGGATACAAGCGGTTGGACGCCTGGAGGAGTTGGCGATGGTGAGAGCACATGGCATGATGACACGGGCGGGTCCAGTTACGGGGCAGATGAAGGAGACGACGACGACGGCACTTCCACGCAGCCGGGGGAGATGAACGATGAAGATGGTGGTCGTCGTGTGGAGGAGGGGGGGGTTCAAGGGCGTCCAGGCGAGGATGTGAATGCGACGAAGGGTAATCAGCAGAAGCGTCGTGGTGGGCGGCCTCCGGCCACCAACCCCAAACCGAAGGTGCCGTGGACATTGGACGAGAGGATCCATCTCGCGAGGATGATGCAAGAGGACGACGCCCTCATGGCGGATGCCAACGGCCAACACCTCATGATGCCGATGAAGGATCGGTACGCATGGGTCATCACACGGATGAAGGATGTCGGGTACATGCACAGGACAGCGGAGGATTGCCGGAAGAAGTGGACGAACATGATGACAATGGTGAAGCTCATCCTCGACAAGCAACAAAAGAAGTCGGGGGAGCCATCGTATTTTGACATAACAATTGAGGAGCGGAGAGAGAGCAAACTGCCGCTGTCTTTCGAGAAGGCGTTGTGGGACGCGATGACGTGGAAACTCGATCGACCATCCATCCAGTGCGACAACACCATGGCATCGGAGTCACTCCCGGGGAAACGACAGGAGCCATCACCGACGGTCGGATCTGATGCAACGGGGACGGAAGAGTCGGACAGCTCAAACAAGGCACGCCAAACAGGGACCGGCAAGGCGAGGGTGCATGAAGGCGGATCAGGCGGATCGTCCTTGGGGAAAGTAATGGAAGACTCAACGAGATCGTATTGTCAGGGCCTTGACAATGCGGCGGCCGCCCTGGCGAGAGCGACAACAGGAGCAGGCACGACAATTGCAGCGAGAATAGGTGATGTGGCCGATGCAATGAGAGGGGGAAATTCTGTGCTGGAACTATTGGTGGGGGTACTTGCCCGGCCGGGGGGGGGGGGGGGGGGGGGGGG